TTGGAATTTCCAGCTGGCCCGAATTAGACTCGGAGTCATCGGACTGATCATCAGAACTTTGACCCGATTCGAGAGTTTTTGCTTGGCCCGGAGCAGAGTTCTGACTGGTTCTCGTCCTCGGTGCCGGATCATCTGCGATTGTCGTCAAAGCTGTGCTCTCTTCCCAAGTCCTGATTCCAGGACAGAGGTCCCATTGATTCGAGCCCACATCATAGACACGTTGATAGGGCTCATAATCTTTCCACACACTGACAGCAAATGAATGTGTTGTCGGTCTGCGTATCAAAAAGCCGTCATAAGCATTCCACATGAAAACCTGTGTGTTCTTCGAACTCGGACCCAGTCCTTGCATCTTCGTGACACGCTCTTGTCGTTTTTTAAGCTGTGCCTTCTCCTCCGCGGAATTGATCGCGCGTTGTGTCTGGTGCGCCGCAGGAAAAATCTTGATAACTCTCGCCGAATCTTTGGCCGCTATTCGGATCAACCGGCGGCATTTCCCACGCGGCGGCTTTTTTGGCAGTTCCTCAGCTTGAGCGCACGTTGCATAGAAATCAGCATTGCGGAATACTCCAAATCGGCGCCTAGCGTTGTCGATGAATGTCCATTCCATGATTGCATCTTGGCCACTAAGATTGCGAACTTTCTGTATGTGCTCTGATTGGACAGAAAGGTGGTAACATCGCATGGAGGGAAGAGCATTGAACAACGCGGGATCGGTGCTGTTCAAGAAGAAATACAAGGGTACACGAATGTCATTCTTCAATATCATGGAGAATAGCCAATCCAGAGACCGAGCTTTCTCGATTGCTGCTGGGCTTGAAAAGTCTAAGATACCTCCAATGGGTCCCACGGCAATCTGGAAAACGACTTCTTCTAGTTCGTCCCACAGTGCCGCATCCACTTGACTCTCCTTGATATAGCGTTCGCGCCATCCTGGCATTTTAATGTCATCGAGAACTAGAGTCAATAATGTGATAGCCTCAAGCAGCGGGCGAAAAGCATGGAGAGATTGCAAGACAGCTTTGTGTAGATCTTGTGGGGATTCAAGGTCAAAGTGTTGTGTATACCCGAATGTTGATGGTAGAGAGTGCCACGGACGAACGTTAGATTTGAGTTCCGTCGGAGCCTTTGGCGCTTTCATAACATTTTGATCTAACCAAGTCAAGGTCGTTCGCAAAAAACCCTCGAGTCGGAGCCATTGATCACGCAAGTCACCTTTCATACCCCTAACTCGAACGTGCTGCGCACCACGAAAATGCGGGACAACAAGCTCCTCTTGCGGGGTTGCACCGATCTGAAAGTCCAGCGGCTTCAATAGAGTATTGTGCAAGATGTGGAAACGAGGCATAAATAACAAGTGAGGTAGGTCCATATTAAGCCAGGCCGTTTTGGCCATCTCGCCGTTAAGCGTTTTGTTCGAGGAAGTGGGAGGGGCTTGCCGCTGACTGGGGATGGAGTAAATGACAGCCCGATCGCCGTTGAACACGAAAAAAATTGCGGGCTTATTTCGCACAAGACCAGTATAATGTTTGGGGGAGGTCTTGATAACAGAGGTTAACGTCGAGTACCGGTTTGGTGGGAGCTAAGTTACCTTTGGTCGCTCCTCCTCATCAAGCGCGCTGAGAGGTAGCAGCCGCACAAATGAATTTCCGGACGTCGACATTTCGCATGACGCCATGAATGGTTGTTACCCGACGTCTTAGCGTCTGAGCTAGTCTTGAGATCTGAGAAACGGCCCGACCCGACGTCTTAGCGTCTAAGCCAGCAACAAGAGAGGAAGGAAGAGAGTATCCAGCAACAAGGAAGAGAGTGTTCAATGTCGTCGTCGCTCGCTCGCACAACTTGAGCACGGTGAGAATGTGCTTGCAGCCAACTGTCAGACATGAGAAACGAACAGTGTTCAGCGTGTACCTTCGCAACACGATCCAGACTGAGAAAATGGCAGAATCGTGACCTTGGTACGATGAAGTCTGATGAGGTGTGACAATAGGTGACGATGTGACGACTCGTGATGACGATGTGACGACTCGGAAGCGGTCCCTTCCGATTGTTAGTTCGTTCCTTGACACTGCGAGCTGTTGGCGAGCTGTATCCACCAGCCGTGACGGTTTACACACTTTAAAGCCCTTTCGCGAAACTTTCCAGCTCATTCACTCAGGAATACTAATAAAAACGTGGCTACTGGTGAAGGGCTGTACTCATAAAACCTGGGGAAGGTCTCAAGGGTCACAAATGTCACACTTTTTAAAAAACTATTTTATTCATTTTTGGGTGTTAGATCATAGTATTGATGATGGGATTGATGGCATCAAGATAAAGTGATCAATGTGGAACGATTTTTGATGGACATCAGTATCATTGATGGCTATGTCAGGATACATCAATTTTAGCCTAATTAGGGTGTATACCTTTGCCCTAGATCACAGGCCTACCTAGATGTTTATCCGGGTCTTCGGCCTGAAAAAATGGTGATTTGCCTTTCCATATCTGGTAATATCTTAGTCATAGCTGTCAAACTCATTGAGATATTCACAATTGATTGAATGTCACATTTTTTGTCACAGTACTCCGGCCATGGCTGGCATGAGCTCCCCCAGGTTTTATGAGTACAGCCCTTCACCAGTAGCCACAGTTTTATTAGTAAAACTGAGTGCACATCCTGAACTTTCGGACGTTGCGAGCTGTATCCACCAGCCGTGACGGTTTACACAGTACTTTAAAGCCCTTTCGCGAAACTCTCGGACGTTGCGAGCTGTATCCACCAGCCGTGACGGTTTACACTGTACTTCAGACGCCGCGAGGTGCCCCCTTCCGACCAACTTCTTTGAAACGATGCAAATCTACCAGCCGCAGTCGCATGTCCTGCACAAGATCCACGAAACACCAAGAAACCTTCAACTTGGAGAGCGGCAAGTTCTTGGCTTATGGGAGCAATGCGATCCTCATTTTTGGACAGTTATGAAAATGTGGATTGGACTGCGGGATGGGCCTTGTCCGATGAGACGGGCAGTCTCTATGACTGCCATTATCTTCACATAGCGCCCGACGCGGGAGGTCAAGGAATCAACCCGACCTGAACTTCCCCCAACTTCGCCAGCCAAGGTTGACGCAGAGTAGCCTGTAATTACTTATGGACCAAAAGAAATAATTGTCGTGAAATAAATGGACAGCGCATCAAGTTGATGCCTCCATCTTTTCGCATGCCTCGACTCCCCCAACGTTGTGCGACACACATATTTTGACGACGCCGCTGAGGAGGAATTCAACCACCTACAAGTTCATTATTCTCTGGATGGACAGCGCGTGCTGAGCCAGCAGACAAATCCATCGCCTAAAAAAAAGGCTCGCCTTAATCAAGAGGTCATTGAAACTCAACCTGAACTCGCTGACTGGATGCCATTCCCAGATGCGCAACTGGAGGACGTAAGAGAGCTGGTGGATACTGTGTCGTCGTTGGAGATTCAACTGGAAGAAGAATCGACATTGAAGAGAAAATGTTATGCATCGGTCGGTTGATACTACGACTTTATACAGAAGCTCATTCCCTTAGGACGATCCTATGGCAATGTGGCAACCACTGACGGCTCTCTTTCTGGAGGAAATGCTACGAAGAGACGGTCTCGGAAACCCTAACGCATGCCAAGAATGTGTGAATTGTCAAGCCAATCATATGGAGGAGACGGGGCTCCGTTTTTTCGCTGCAAGCAATGTGGGGACGGACTCCATTGTGAGACCTGTGTGGAAGCCGCTCATCAGAAATTGCCGCTCCATGAATTGCAGGTATTTATTTCTTCACCGATTTTGTTACTTGTTTACCTAGCTTGTTTAGGAATGGACGGGTCACTTCTGGACGAAGGCCTCCTTGTTTTATGCCGGACCCATCCAGCATGGAGCTCGTGGTTTGGCGGGCTGTTATCAACTTGGTCATGACGGTGCCCCATGCCCATTCCCCAGTAACCGTCGACCGTTGGTGGTCATCGATGTCAATGGCATTTTTACTTTGGACGTGCAGTACTGTGGCTGCGTGAATCCGTTCGGATTCGACCCCGTCAGACAATTGCTTCGAAATGCGTGGTATCCGGCCACGACAACAAACCCTGCGACCTGTGCAACCTTCAATGTTTTGGAGACATTTCGCTTCCTGCGCTCCATCGCAAAACATCAATGTCCAAGACTATGTGCGCACGTTGGAGAAGTTGACGGATTCAACCGGACTGGAAAAGGTCCCAGATCGTCGCGTTGCTTTCGGTCGAATGGCTCGACAATACAGCTATCTTAAAATGATGAAGCGTGGAGGTTGCGGGCATGAAGCCAATGGAATTGTAACTACGCCGCCAGGGGCATTGGCTGTGCGTTGCTGGGCATGCCCAGATGCTTCTCGTAACTTGCCTTCCGGATGGGACAAGGTTCCGGAGTCGAAGGCGTGAGTAGCTATTTAATCAAACTATTCTTGACCAACAAATGTGCAGATACTTGTATAAGCTCATGTTGGCATTCGATGCCAATTTCCGCCTGAAGAACAAGCTTCGTGCTGGAGAACGCATGGATCCGGCGTTGACCGATGGCTTGGGATACTTTGCACGATCTGGACCATATAAAGAACATATCAAAACGCTCGTTGACGAAAAAGATGTCAGTGCGCTCTAGTCGAATCTATTCCATGTTAATGCGATACTTCAGGTCCAGGCTTGTGCTGCGTTTGCTGCTCTTTTGCAGAAGGAGACCAAATTGACCACTGGCCTGAGAGTTTCTGGCGTAGTTGGTTGTGTCTGTGCACGGCACGGCCTCATACGTCGTCGAGGGATGGGAGACCTTCAACGTGGAGAACGGCAAGTTGCTTGATGCCAGGAACAACTTGGATACTAACTCTTTGTGCCAGCTATGGAAACGTGGATTGGACCGTGCTATCAACTCTGTCAGACGAGGAAGTTCTGTGGGTCTTGCTTGCATACGACATCGTATGTCACTGGCAAGTATACTTTCCTGAGCGCGTCGCACGAATGAAGACAACGGGCGTGGATATCGAAGAGATATTCACCGAATTGGACCGTATTCGCCTGCAATACGGACTGCCGGTCTGGCATGCTGAAGCTCATGACCCCAAATGTCGAATTCAGTTTGCGCTTAGGTACTTGTTGGGTGTTGGAAAGACGGATGGGGAAAGCACCGGCGTTTGTGGAGCCTACTCAATCCCGCAAGTTGGTCGACAAAGGAAATGGGAGAAGGCGCCTGTCATGATGTCCTGGAGGACAAGATCGACCTGATTAATTTTGAGAAAAACAGGAGCATGGGTCAGTTAAGGTTTCTTTGAGAGTTTAAGCTCACTATTTGCAAGGGCGGACACTTGCAAGACGTTTGATTGTCGCTGTAGCAGAGCGTCAAAGGCAGGGCATTGAATTCCAGGAGCTGGACGACAGCGTTCCTAAAAAAAAACGACGTGAATGGGCCAAGATGATGGATGCCTGGTATAAGGATAACACCCAGACAAATCCATTTGAAGTCCAGGGTGGGAAGCTCGGTATGCATGACGTTGAATACCTGTTGTAGCATTGATGACCTGTCTCGACAGCCGGGCCTAGTGAACGCGAAATAAGTGAAGAGTTGAAACGAGCTGAGGTGGAAGATGCACGAGCCGGAATCAAACCTTTACTGGAAGGTAAAATGACCATAACAGCGTTCATCAGAGCGGGTATGCAGCTTCAGGCCATCCAGTATGTCAAAGTCTTCATTCCACACACTCTATTCACTATCCCCAGGCGTCGTATACGGACTGCTCTGAAGGCAAAAAAGTCAGCAGATCAAGCGAGCCAGATACAAGAATTATGTCTATCTCTGATCAAACAAATGCGCACCTTCGAAAAACTTCAACTAACTTACATGCCTGGGGTTCAGGGTCTTCGCGACGCAGCGGTATAAATTGGACGCGGAGGACGCGCAACCGGAAAACGCAAAGCTTTATCTTCCGTCACAGTTAACCGCGGAAGAGTGTCGACAAGTCAGCATGGCGGACTTGATTGAGACTGAAGCGAAATTGCGTCGGGGACAGTGTGCAGATGCACTGGCTGCCTTACGAGGGAGGCTTCATTCGAAGCAACACATGATTTGGTTTCTCGGGGAAAACATGGTGGGGCAACGTGCAAGAACGCTCCGTCACTCTAATGGCTCGGATGGAAGAAGGTGTAACGAAGGCCGCTGCCAAATATACTGAAGGCTACGAGGCTCTCGTTCACCTCAAAGGCAAACGTTACGCTCCCGAGTTTCAAAAATTGGACAAGGCCCATTTGAACACTCAGATCGAAATCGAGAGTGACGAAGATGCAGCAAGAAGCTTACGAACAGCAGACGGATCGCGACCTACGAGAGAGGAGACTGCTGCAAAAAAGAAGAAAACCAAGACGGCACCAATTTCCTGGATTTGGGCAGCAGGCGGGCAGGCCGACGGGGTTGAACTTCATGACTGTGAGTAACTATGGCTTGTTGACCATTTGCTTTCGGTTGAACGTGGTATCATAGCTATGCGTGTCGAGTGGGCAAAAGCACGTGCACGGAAGGAACGCTGGAACGAGGAGGTTGAATTGTTGCGAGAGGAGATGAAGCGGGTCATGCGATCATTGAAGTGGGAGGCTTCAGAATGGCAAAAACGAGCCGACGAAGTTCGTTCAGACGTTGATGGAACGACGGCGGCTGGAATCCGAGCTTATGCGCTGCGTAACGTGTACCTGCATACTGAATTTATAGTGCGCTTTCGAGAGGAGTGGGACAAAACAATGGGAGCTGCTGTCCGTCATTGGGCAGCAGAGGAGGAGCAGGAAATATTAGAGGGAACATTTATGGCAGAGGGAATGTAGAGAACAATGTTAAAATTGTATGATTCGGACCAAATCAGTCGTAATGATGATATCAAAGCTGCAGGATAAAGCGGAGTTCGGAGATCAGCGGCAAGGAAGCACGGAAACGGGTGGGGTTTGAGTGTTGTCAGAGACCTGGCAACACACAGGGATGATGGAATCGGATTTTCTGGCAGTTCCCAGGGATGATTGAAACAGGCTACAGCCACGGGTGCTCTGCTTCGAAAGCGCGTTCGGCCTTACAAATTACCAGCGAGGGAAGCTGGGGGCCAATAGCGCTATTGGACCGCCGACAGTCTTTACAGCAGCAATGTCTCACGGCCGCCATCACTAGGCGCGGTGTCCCTGACTTGCAAGTACCAACGGCAGCGGCTATACTGGGGCGTTTCGTTTCCCTCTCACTATACTACTGGCTACTGGGAAGCCTCTGGGAGCGGCCCCAAAAACTACACACCCTTTCGATATCCTTCGATGCAGACTCTGAGACTTGTGCTCTTCCTCCGGAAGCCCGCCAACTGGTCCTGCCCGTCACTCAAATAAGCCCTACAGCAGTTCTAACTTTCAAGTATAATAGACTATAGTTAACAACAGGCTTTTCTTGCTCCAAGCCTGTGGCAGTCAGTTTCTCAAATCGCCAACATACGGAGCATTTACTAATCGCTTTCTAGCCATGCGGACACATAACCAGTGTTTTTGGGATATATAGAGCAAGACCTGCTGTCCCAACACCAATACAAACAAAATTTTAGAGCGCTTGTTAGACACTCTGAATAATTAGTAAACCACATCATCATCAGCTTCCCACTCTAACTCGAAAAAGGGAGTAATGATTGTCATCTGCTCCAAACCAGGACATCGTGCTTGCAGATTCGTCTCTAACATCTGGGGAGTTATGAGCTGTTGATCCATCGTTTGTGAGTTACTGCAGCAATAGCGGGAGAAATCAAAGGTGCAATGCGTGACTGTTGTTGACAAGATTGTTGGCAGGGAAATAAAGAAGGAGAATATCTGTGAAAACTGATTAGCTGATGTCAGGGGGGCAGTTAGTTTAGAAACCAAACCTGCTCAGGATCTTCCTCCTCACTATAACCCATATAGAAATCAAGGACCAAAAGATTAGGAAATGATCCCAAGATAGAAAGCCAGTCGTTGGCTTTCCCATCATACAGGTTCAGAGTAAGTGTAGTGATGACGTTGAGATAGAAATCCATGGATAGTTGCATTGCCAAGCGGAGATTATTCGAGTTGCACTCCGTACCCAACCTGGGGCTTTTATGCATCATTGTCTCTGACAAGAGAACAGGAATGATGAATCAAGACCTGTAGCTCTGACATGCCCATGATGTATCATGGCTCCTCTGGTTCCCTTGCATAACGACGCTGCATCAACAATGTGATCGCAACATCACATCTTCGCTGTCGGCGTCCATCACAGTGATCAGCAGCCGTTGCCATCGCCGTCGACAATGAGCACAGAATGTTGGTAAAATAATTCTAAAAAATTCGAAAAAAGTTATCCGGGGTAGGTACATAGTCGCCAATCAACGAGCATTGTTTTATTCATATGATAGGCAGGTGCCAATCCCCAAAATTGCGCTGCTCCAGTACGGACCTGTTTGGACCCACACTGACACTGCGCAATGCCCACAATCAGGCACCTAGCCACGACAGTGAGCCATGGGGCGCCGCCGGCCCGCTTTGCAGGCAGCCTATGATCGCTTCGCTGGCTTAAGCTTGTTTCTCGAGGTTCAGCACCTCTCCTTTGCCCTCTCCTCGGCGCCGCTTTGCGCACCTCTCCACACGCGACTGTGCATGGCTAGTTTTCTCGTCCCGAAGAGTGCAGAGACGGCGCAAAGGGATGCCGCGGCTTCCATAACCCGCCGTTATGTATATCCACCCTCCGCCTCGCCCGCCCGCTGTTCAGCGTCCGTCGCCTTGCCGTCGCCCAGCGGATCAACGGCCAGTCTATCCTCCTCGCCCGCATTCCTGCCTCTCCTCACAGCTAATCTTGTGCCACCCCAGCGCTTCTGCGCGCCTTCCGGGACCATCCGGCGTGCTCTGGTAGGCCTCCAGCGTGCTCTGCGCCTTGCGTTTTGCTTTCATATAGACCCGCCAGTGGTGGACCACTGGTCGCCGTGGACGTCCTGTGGCCCCGTCGCCCCGCTCGTCCCGAGCCTCCCGATCTTGACCACCACTCATTTACCTGCTACACACTCGCCGCGGCGCCGGCCCAGTGCCGCTTCTAGCATCTGCGCAGGCACTGGTGGGCGTATGGACTCGGATTTGGTGTCCATCTTGCGCTCCCATGCCCCAGATCGATCCGAGCTCACTGGCGCTATCCACTGGTGGTGGCTCGCTCTTCCCGCGCACACACGGATCAGTCCCCCCCCCTGCCGGCCGCCCCATTCGCATATAGCCCACTGCCCGCACGGCCTCCGCCAAGCTCCCACCGTGTATCCTCCATCAAAGGATGTAGGATACTTGTCGCCTCTCGCTTGGGGAGCTTGTGCTGACCCGCCGTTCTCCTCAACTCCATGAGAACCACTCGGAATACTGGGGCCAGGGCACTGCCAACCTGAGGCATTATCCTGCTCATGAATATGTAGACAAATGTATTAGTGGTAGTTGGCAATAATAGATAAAGGTCTCCAACAGTGGTTGGAATTTAGTGGTGGTATGTACCAATACTTCTACAATGGACAAGTTCGGATAAAACTGCTGGATTTTCGTTCAGAAACGTGTACATAGGCGGAGGCTGACTACCAGAGACCAATAGTATAAATCTCCTTGCATATTTTGGTCAATTGAAGTCATTATTGCTGGTTTGTCGTGCCCCGATATTCCGCCTCATGCTCCAAGGATGTCAGATGGATGCCGATCAACCCCAAGCGCGGAAAATAGCCGATGGCATTGACAAGCAGCTACTTAAAATGACATCCGCTGCCCCGCGCCCCGCCCACCCCGCGCACTACAGCCTAGATGGCATTGTGGCCCAGACTCCTACTGGCAAGCACAGTAAGAAGTGTGAGCATGCTAATGAATCAAGCGGCATCAGCGGTGCATGGGTTACAGTGTCACGCACGTGGCAAATTGGTAGGCGGGTGGCGAGCGGTGGGCGGCGGGCGGTGGGGGAGGGCGGCGGGAATTGAGGGCAAGTGGCAATGCTAAGCCCGGTCTGATGGGTCATGTAAATCTAGTACTGTTGCCGAGCGAGGACATGGTCTGTGAAGCGGCGGCAAACGACGGATTGACACAAGATTGACATGATGGACATGTCGGGGTCTTGATGTGACCTTGTAGATGATGTTATTGATGGTGTCCGATGATTCAGTGCACTGCTGGGCGGCCACTGGCCAGATAAGCACTCAGCCAACTACTAATAGCAAGGCACAGAAGCTATGAACACACTTCTGTGGATGATGGTATCAACCAGCTGACAGCTGCATGATATATCAGTTTCCCACTACTTGCCAAAAGGAGTGATAGTGGCCGGAATCCTTATCCATCGATAAGGAGGGGACAGATATAAGACTGGAGGGTATTCCGGGCTTGTTCCCTACATTCCCTGTGCTATCATGCCTTCCTGCATGGAGTGTAGCATAGAGTTTCCTCTGATGACAGGGCCTGTTTGTAACAAATGTCAAATGCTTGATGGCAAAACGGAGGCTGAGCAGCATAGTGAGAGGGTAAGCCCTGATATTGCATATAACTACCAATAGTTATTAATTTATAATAGAAGAAGAAACAGTGTATTTCATGCTCCTTGGCATATTCACAACTTCAAAATGTCTTGTGTCACAGATGTGTTGAGCATTGGGGACCTAGTATGTAGTATATGTGTCTATTGGTAACTAATAACTGCTCTATATAGAAGGAGACAGTGTCCCCCAGTTGATCAGTAGAAATGCTGCAGCTCAGAATCAATTGCAAGCCTTTCAAGCAGGTCAAGTAGGAGATTTGACCTCCAATATCTGGTCATTGGCACAGCAACATCAATCTACTGCATCTGCTTCCCGTTTAGGTTTGCCAAGTACACGGCCAATGAACCGCAACCTCCAGCAGACCCCTGCTGGCATAGCTCATATGCAGCGCGGAAACTCTAGTACTTCAGGTGCTCGTAGTTCACGACAACAGGTATCTGGGAATTCTACCATGTCACAGCGTGTGCAATTCACTGCTCGCCTTGCAATCAAGAATACACAGACCAACAAATCAACTGTGGTAAGTATAATATGTATGTTATTGATGTTAAATTAAGCTTCAAATATTCTAGGATCCTCACATCAATGTTGTTAATATGGCTACAATTTATGACAGTATAGACTCTGTCATTGCTGGGCTGATTGTCAGGGTCCAAAATGGATGGGCAGAGAATAATCAGGCTCTAAGTGATTATGCTCAGAATATCACACGGTAAGTTGATTTCTGATTTTGTCCAGTCCAGTTGAGCTGATAGTGGTTAGTCAACACATCACTGTTGGCATCACCTCCTCACAGACCAATGTGACCAACTTGACTCTACAGGATATAAATGACCTTGGAACTGTTCAACAGCTTATGAATTACATCAAAGACAATAACCTTGTTACTTTCAAGGCTGCAGCAGGAGGTCCAAATCCCACAGAGCCTCGTAAGGTTGAGCTGCGGTTGAATATTAATGATGATATATTGGTATGCATATAGATCAAGTGAATACATATGCAGTAAACTAATGGAAATGACTAGAATCCTGATGCAGACCAAACTGTACAAATGTCATCAGCCGTCAATATGCGCTCAGCTGCTCAGCTGTCAGTAGGCGTTCAACTAGTAACACACGCTCAGGTCTCAATATGTTGTCATCTGTTCAATTACGCAACTCAAGGGCAAAATCCCGTCGAATTGACATCTCTGAGTTAATGGACACAGATTCTGAGGATGTGCCAGTGCCAGTGAAGTCTACCCACATTTTACGCGAAAGTAACTGGAAATCTCGGCCAGTTTACACACGTAGCCCACCA